CCGTCATCGACATCATCTCGGCCGACACCCTCACCTACAGCCCCTCCCCCATCGTCAGGGGCGGATTCAACTGGGGCCTGCACTTCAGATGGGACCCGGTGCCCCCCGGCGACCTGCAGGGGGCGCAAGGGAGCACCAGGCCCATACGGTACTGCTACTACTACTACTACTACTACTACTACTACAATATATACTACTACTACTACATATATACAACATACCCAACATATACAACATATACAACATATACAACTACTGATACTGAACTGCCCCCAGTGACCTGCAGGGGGCGCAAGGGAGCACCAGGCCCATACAGTCGCCCACGATGGTGGGGGGTTTGTAGTACTCTGTAGTACTCTGTAGTACTGTAGTACTCTGTGCAGGTCGCCCACGATGGCGGGGGGTTTGTTCGCGATGGAGCGGAGATACTTCAATGAGCTCGGACAGTACGACCCCGGGATGGACATCTGGGGAGGAGAGAACCTCGAGCTGTCCTTCAGGGTAAGACCTGGACCAGGACCAGACTTGGACCAGACTGAACCAGACCTGTGTGGAGGCCTCTCTCTCTCTGCGGCTCTGGTGTGTTTGGTCAGATGTTCTCAGATGTTCTCAGATGTTCTCAGATGTTCTCAGATGTTCTCGTACGTTCTCGTCCTCAGATCTGGATGTGTGGGGGGCAGCTGCTGATCGCTCCGTGCTCCAGAGTGGGACACATCTTCAGGAAGAGACGTCCGTACGGATCTCCAGGAGGAACCGACACCATGGCCCACAACTCGCTCAGACTCGCACACGTGTGGATGGACGAGTACAAGGTCTGGACCAGGACCAGAGACCAGGACCAGGACCTGGACCAGGACTGGACCAGGACCAGGACCGGACCAGGACCAGAGACAAGGACCAGGACTGGACTGGACCAAGACCAGGACTGGACCAAGACCAGGACCGGACCAGGACCAGAGACAAGGACCAGGACCAGGACCAGGACTGGACCAGGACCAGGACTGGACCAGGACCTGGACCAGGATTGGACCAGGACCGGACCAGGACCAGAGAGCAGACCACTTCTAAACCCTGTCTGTCCCTGTCGGTCCCTGTCGTGGCAGGAGCAGTACCTGTCTCTGCGTCCGGACCTGGTGGGGCGTTCATTCGGCGACGTGAGCGAGCGACTCGAGCTCCGGCGCCGTCTCCAGTGTCGCTCGTTTAAGTGGTACCTCCAGAACATCTACCCCGAGATGAGCTCCTCAGGACACAAGAACCCACCAGGACTCGTCCAGAAGGTCCTGAAGAGGCCCACGGTCACACACCGAGGACGGGTGAGGGGGGGTCACACGCCGAGGACGGGTGAGGGGGGGTCACACGCCGAGGACGGGTGAGGGGGGGGTCACCCGCCGAGGACGGGTGAGGGGGGGTCACCGAGGACGGGTGAGGGGTGGGGGGTGGGGGGGACGAGCAGGTCTGATGTTCTTCTTCTCGTTCTTCTTCTTCTTCTTCTTGTCGTAGTTGAGGAACGTCGGTTCTGGTCGGTGCCTCGTGGCTCAGGGTCGACCCACACAGAAAGGAGGAGCTGTGGTCCTCAGACCATGTGACCCCAGAGACCCAGAACAGGTTTGAACCAGGACTAAACCCGGACTAAACCAGAACTAAACCAGAACTAAACCAAGACTAAACCAAGACTAAACCAGAACTAAACCAGGACTGAACCAGGACTGAACCAGGACTAAACCTGGACTGAACCAGGACTAAACCAGGTCTAAACCAGGACTGAACCAGGACTAAACCAGATCTAACCAGGACTGAACCAGGACTGAACCAGGACTGAACCAGGACTGAACCAGGACTAAACCAGGACTAAACCAGGACTAAACCTGGTCTAACTGGGTCTGTGCAGGAGTGGGCTCTGGACGAGGAGGGGCAGTTGGTTCTGGCCGGTCTTCTCTGTCTGGACGTGTCTGAAGTTCGGACCTCGGACCCGCCCAGACTCATGAAGTGCCACGGGTCCGGAGGGTCCCAACAGTGGAGCATCGGGGTGAGTCCGGGGGGGGGCACCTGACGCACGGGGGGGCATCACCAGGTCTAAACCCGGTCTAAACCCGGTCTAAACCCGGTCTAAACCTGGTCTAAACCCGGTCTTGTCTCGCAGAAGTCCAGCCGGCTGTACCAGGTCTCTGTGGGACAGTGTCTCTCGGTGTCGGCGCCACTCGGACCCAAAGGATACGTTTCCATGGCGATCTGCGACCAATCAGAGGCTCAGCAGTGGCGTCTGGAGGCGTGACCACAAACGGACTACAAACATGGCCGCCCTCCCGTCCATCAAAACACATCCCAGCACCAGCAGATCTAAAGGACTACAAACATGAGAGCGCCGGCAGACATGTTTGTAGTCCTGTGGTCTTGACATTTCAGTGACGTTACACAGTACGGACTACAAACATGGAGCCTGATTTCTTTTAAATACATTTGCACCCAGTTTAATCTTTGAATCTGATTTTTACACCGTTTTAACTCTTTCTAAATCTAAATGTTTCCTTTAAATGTTTCCTTTAAATGTTTTCTTTACATTTTAGCTGCAAACTTGAACCACAAAAGTCTCTCTGGACTACAATCATGGCCGTCCTGTTTTACTTCTTCTGGACTTGTGGACTGTCATGAGCCTTTTGCACTAAGCATTTGCTGAATTAGAACTACAACTCTCTGGACTACAAAGATGGCCGCCGGCGTGTTGTGACTGAAGCTTTTGTCTCAGATCCTGTTTCATTTTGATTTTGTGGTGAAATAAACAGAAAAAACATGAGGTGGAAGAGTTTATTTCACTTCTCCACAGCGCCGGACCAGGACCAGGACCAGGACCTGGACCTGGACCTGGACCTGGACCAAAACCAGGAACAGGAGAAAACCAGACCAGAGCTGGGACTAAACAGATCGCAACCAGTTTCACAGGGTCTTTCTGGATTCAGTCCAGTTTAATAGGTCTGGTTTAAACCAGGACTAAACCTGGACTAAACCAGGACTAAACCAGGTCTACACAGAGGACAGAAGGAGGTCTGAGAGGATCTGAACCAGTTTAAGATTGAAGTGCAGAGTGAAACTGAGTATGTACAGTTTTATAACCAGGACTGAACCAGAACCAGACTGGGACTAAACCAGGTCTGACTCAGATCTGAAGCAGTTTTAAAGAAAGTTCTTTGTAAAGTTTTAGGAGCTTTAGCGTCAGGTCTGTGCAGCCCAGGAGGACACAGGAGACAGGAGGTAGGACGCAGGAGGTAGGAGATAGGACGCAGGAGATAGGACGTAGGAGGTAGGAGGCTCAGACGTGCGCTTTAGGAGACGAGGAAATCCACAGGTTCGACTGGTCGACCGGAGTTTTAGAGCGAGATTTACTGTGAACACAGAAGTACAAGTATAAGTACACAAGTACACGAGTATACAAGTACGCAAGTACACAAGTACACAAGTATACAAGTACATGAGTATACAAGTACGCAAGTATACAAGTACACGAATATACAAGTACGCAAGTACACAAGTATACAAGTACACGAGTATACAAGTACACGAGTATACAAGTACGCAAGTATACAAGTACACGAGTATACAAGTACGCAAGTATACAAGTACACGAGTATACAAGTACGCAAGTATACAAGTACACGAGTACGCAAGTACACGAGTATACAAGTACACAAGTATAAGTACACAAGTACGCAAGTATACAAGTACGCAAGTATACAAGTACGCAAGTACACGAGTATACAAGTACACGAGTATACAAGTACACGAGTACACGAGTATACAAGTACACAAGTATAAGTACACAAGTACGCAAGTATACAAGTACGCAAGTATACAAGTACGCAAGTACACGAGTATACAAGTACACGAGTATACAAGTACACGAGTACACGAGTATACAAGTACACAAGTACACGAGTATACAAGTACACAAGTATAAGTACACAAGTACGCAAGTATACAAGTACGCAAGCATGCAAGTACACAAGTATACAAGTACACACGTATACAAGTATAAGTACACAAGTGTAAGTACAGAACTACAAAAGTATAAGTACACTAGTGTTTTTTATATTTAAAGCACTTTTTGCAGTATATATAAAGTAAAGTACTGTCGTATTTCCAAAGTACTGCAGTATATAAAGTTCTTATGTGTGGTGCAGTACTGTAGTATACAAAGTACTGCAGTATTTGTAGTACTTACGTGGGGTTGAGTCTCTGGCAGCAGCAGCTTCCTGAGGCCACAAGGATCAACAAGACGAGAGGAATCAGAGGAATCCCAATGTACAAGAGCAGAGTACCTGCGAAGTACAAGTACTATTACTGCAAATACTACTACTACTACTACTACTACTACTACTACTACTACTACTGTTAAAGCCCAATGTACAAGAGCAGAGTACCTGCGAAGTACAAGTACTATTACTGCAAATACTACTACTACTACTACTACTACTACTACTACTACTACTACTACTGTTAAAGCCCAATGTACAAGAGCAGAGTACCTGCGAAGTACAAGTACTATTACTGCACTACTACTACTACTACTACTACTACTACTACTACTACTGTTAAAGCCCAATGTACAAGAGCAGAGTACCTGCGAAGTACAAGTACTATTACTGCAAATACTACTACTACTACTACTACTACTACTACTACTACTACTACTACTACTGTTAAAGCCCAATGTACAAGAGCAGAGTACCTGCGAAGTACAAGTACTATTACTGCAAATACTACTACTACTACTACTACTACTACTACTACTACTACTGTTAAAGCCCAATGTACAAGAGCAGAGTACCTGCGAAGTACAAGTACTATTACTGCAAATACTACTACTACTACTACTACTACTACTACTACTACTGTTAAAGCCCAATGTAGTACTGTGTAGTACTGTGTAGTACTTGTGTAGTACTGTGTAGTACTTGTGTAGTACTTGTGTAGTACTGTGTAGTACTGTGTAGTACTTGTGTAGTACT